GGAAACCGCATGGACGCAGTGGTACACGACACGATTTTACGACCTGCCGAATTCCGAAGCAATAGCATGAAGTTCTCTGATGTAATGACATGTATTGAACGGAGCTGAGTTGAGAGAAGGGCAGTGTATAATAAACTGTGTAACCTATATGTAGTACATTTAAATAAAACCACTCTCACTCTCTCTTTCTCTTTCATAACTGTATAATACTGATACGAGACATACAGGTTCTTTTTCAGCACCGAGAAACTGGGATGTCTGATCATCCCGTGTGTGTGTGTGAATTATAAAGCCTAGTTACACGCTATAGCTAACAAAAAGCAGCTACCTATACGTGCTACATCTCACCTGATAACTGTAGCTCTTGAGCGATCCGCTGTAAAATATCATCTCGGACGACTCATGGTACACACTGCATGACATTATACAGCACTCGCTGCTTCTGCCAAAGTTCAGCGAGACCTCTCTCGTTTTCATGAAAGAATATGAGCAATACCTTTCATTGATCCAATTGTCGAAGAACAAAAAAGCTTTTAAAACTTTGTGTTTATAAATCTTTTCTTATCTTTAATGACATGTCAGTCTCAAATTGTTAGTTTTTTTCAGTTTGTAATGTATTAACCACCCCCTTTTTCTTTTCTTTTCTTGTCATTGTCTATCATTTTTTATTTGTTGATGGTTGTATTACTGTTTGTATACTGTTTTTGAGCATTAATAAAAAAAATAAAAAAGAAGTGAGTTTGTCTTCCTTTTCAATAGTCCAAATTCACCATGGCGCTGCCATCGTCTTTCTTCTTCTGTCGTTTTCCTGAGCTCCTGATTGGTCAACTATAGATAGATCGACAAATCGGCTCAACTGCGCACACCACACGAATTCAAGCCGACAGCTCCCGAACTTTTTTGACATGTTTAAAAATCATCGTGAGCACGTGAGGCGCTCGAGCCGTAAATCACTCTCACACGATGCGAGCCACGGCCATATGAGCATCAACGATTTCCATGCGATTTCTCCCGATGGGAAAAAAAATTGCGTACTAGCTTGTATGACAGCAAAAATCGCACCATGTATGCCTGGGCTTCAGGATTTATCCCGGATTCCTTGCATTTACTGCCAGCAAAGCAACACGTAGTCAAATTTGAATAGTGTTTTTATTTTTCGAATAACAAATACAGACCGAATATTAGACTATTGGCCACACCCCGATTTTCTAGACCTAGAAAAGTCAGGTAAATTAATCAATTAAGCTCAAAGTAGGTTTTTATACACATACACTAGTGTATTCATACAGCCAAAAATCTAATTGATATTGTGTGTGAACACAGGCACAGTGTTATAAATTATGCCACGCTCTAAAAAACTGGAAGTTAAATATTCCCTGAAGAACATTCAGCTCCTAAAACTTCTAGTCCAGAAACTGATTTATTTTATTTTTAATTATGTAACTATTATTACTCTTATTGTTTAATTTACAAAAACTAGGAGTGCCTATAGATATAGATACTCTTGTGGACAATGGGCCTTAAAGTCAAAAAGTTAGATCACTAGTTGGTCAGACAAACATTCACTAATTGATTTTTAAAAATGTAGTTTTGCGCATCCCTCACACCATGTACAGACAGAAGGTCAACCACAAATATGCTTTAACATTCAAAAGAGAAGCTCCTCTTGAACCCCTGTTCTCCCTGTAACTTTGTTTCAGATCAGTTTAATAGATCCCACTGCTGGTTGGCACGTTGACCTCTGCTGACCTCTGTAAAATGCGGTGCGCTCCTCTCCTCTGGTAAGCAGATTATTTCAGAGCTCACAGAGAGAGGTCACACACGTGCACCTTTATTAAAACACCACCGTCGCTTCTTATTAAACCCTCCCTGCTGGAGAGCGAGCGGAACTACTTTCCCACCCAAAAAAAGTTTTGCAATTTAAAACCAAATCTAATTTACTTCTTCAGTAATACTTGTGAGCAATACTCATCTGTAATAAAAAATGAACCAGGAAATATTCAAAATAATTCATATTGATAGACTGAACAGAAGGCGAATAGCTGTGTTCCAATATCTAGTCAGCCGACCGCATTTTAAGGCATCATGCGTGAACTCCTGTCATGACGACTGCTCCAAACAGCATTTTTTATTCACTTTAACCAAATTTTTAAAGGAATAGTTCACCCAAAACTTAAAATGTGTTAAAAATGTGCTCACCCTAAGGTCAACCAAGATGTAGATAAGTTTGTTTCTTTATCAGAACAGATTTGGA